TCTAAATGTTTTAAAACCCACATTTGCTACTCACATAATGTAATCTGAGTGGTACTTGTTAATGCTGTAATTGCACAGATGCATGCAAGGATTCCACAGATGTTTCCCAGTAGTATCATATTTTACAGTAGCAAATCTCACCAGACCTTCCTCATACATGTAAACTATCAATGGATCATATGAAGTAACAGCAACATAAAGACGCAAGTCACATTTGTGTCCATCTACAAGTAATGGGTTATCAATGTATTTGGCTACTACCAAGGTCTCATCAAGAGGGACCTGATCAGGCTGAAAACAGAACCAATACTTTACTCCACAGAAAATTATCTTACATATAAACAGCACACATTTCATAAAACTCACACTGTTCACAATATAAATTCCTCGACCCCTTGATGAAGCAACAGGTTTCACGATCCAGGGACCCTTGTTGCGATAGTGATTAGAGCATAAATCTCGAAAATCAGTGGGCATAACAAATGTTTGAGGAATAAAATCAAAATGCTTAGCACCTTTAGCATGTTGCATCTTCTCTATGTTCTTGAATAATCGATCTTTGCGTGTAAGTTCATATGATCTGCACACAAGTCCTCAATTACAAACACATCACATCACATGGCTTTGAGTTACCATTTGACATATTTCTATTAAATATACAAACCTTGGGAAATGATTCACACGTTGATAAGATGTCATATTTTTTAATGTGTGAGGTTTTGGATGAACTCCAGTCCACATTATATTAAAATCAGGAATATTTGGATGCACCTGAACATTAAAATCAAATTTTCAGTCACTTCTATCAACTTTAGCAATAATATTCACAGACATATAGACCTTTTGAGGGAAGTATTGTGGCCGTTCAATCTCGTCAATTAATTCATGACTACAATAAATTGCAATATTTCATGCGAGTAAAAACCAATGTTGTTCTGCCCCCATCTCTACCACGGCCAAACAGCCCAACTCCAGCGGGTGAAAGGCTGATGCCAACTTTGGGAATTCAGTATCAAGAAGATTTCGTTAACCACTAATGAAAACTTGGAAGATTTAAGTACCAACTTTTAAATAAAAAAGGAATGTTGTATGTGTATGTTAACAAAATTTAATATAAATTGTTGTAAGTACTGTTTAAAATATAAATATTTTTCTTTTTTTCTTTCAAGTTTAATCTAATTAAGAGTGTCAGGTTGGTTTGGGCAGTTGGAGATCTTTTTGCAATTGGGACAATATTTAATGAATTTCCATCAAAAATGCTAGTAAACATGATTTAACATTTTGCTTTAAGATATGATAAATATTGAAACTAAAAGTAGTAAATAATTATTGCAATTTTTTTTTCTTCCGAAGAATGTAGCAGGTGTCCTAATGTGTTCCCCATTGGTGGGGTACATTTAAACACACTATGGGCACATACACACAGGTTTTAATTTTATGCAAGAAACGAGTACTCAAAAACACATAACCAAATTAAATTATTTATATTCGTAAATAAGTAAGAAATTAACCCACCAAAGCCTGTACTTTGGTACAAGAAATACGACATCTGTTAAGAATTTACCTATTTCACAATAATTGAACAACTTGGAAACTTTTATAAATTTCCACTGAAAAAAATTTCCTAAAGAGTTTTTCATTCTCAGCTGAATAAGCCTTGGCATATGGTGTACTCTGATTGAAATTGTCGAAGGTAATACCACGCATGCACTGGAAATTTCCAATACATTCCTGAGCCACACAGCAACAAGCTTAATGCCACTGAAAGTATTAACTAAACAATCTAAGTTATAGCTAGAGAGCAAGTTACAACACTAAATAAATACTTAATGCCGTACTTTGTTGATAAAGAATTGAAAGCTATTCAATTCAATTATAAAGATTTGAAATCAATTCCCAAAAGTAAAGAAATCAAAGAAATTTATTAAAGAATATTAAATCTATAACAAAAGGCCTTGCAAAGTTGTATCAAATAAAAACTTTCACATCCTTTACACAATTGTCTTATTGTTCTGAAGATTCCAACCAACATATAACTATTTTTAGGTCGTCTGAAGGTTCTAAATAAGTTAAAAAAAAATGCCAATGCTCAGTCATCAACATCAAAATTAGAAGAATTTCAATTAAAAAGCATCAACTAATTAGCAATGTTAAGGACTGACCTGTTTTTGGAGAATGAAAATGCAGTGTATTGTGTACTATATTTGCATTGTTCTTCAATGTGTACTATGTTTGATTTGTATACAGGCCAGACAAAATGAAAAATTAAACTAAGGGTAAAAGAACATGAAAATAATATTAGGAAGTTGAACCGAAAATTGAATTGCTTCTACTTCATACAATAACATTTCCCTATTCACTCAAGACATGTATTTCTTATATCGAAAGGTGGAGAGGTGCACCCAGAATTTTTCTCGTGGGAAGAAACTACAAATACACTGTTTTTCTGATTTCAAGTTTTCTTATAAAGAATTTTTTATTTATGATGAATATAAAATGAATTTCAACAGGCTGACATATAGTTAATATTTATAACATTAACAATTGATACATTGAACGACTTTCATTAGCACAGAAAATATTTTTGGGTATGTATCACTGGCCTCTGGCTGGGCAGAAGCCCTATTCCATTTGTGTCTTTTCTCTTATATCATATCATTATTCAAAGATTCTTACATTTTTTCTTAATATTATTGTGTTAATTTTTACATTTCACTCAAATATGTACGCCCTCTCCTTGTGCACTTATATATTCTCAATTTTCCCTTTTTTTAAATTTAAAATCTAATACAGTAAAACACTGGTAATCCAAACTAAGGGAGAGCTGTTCAGATTCGGATATGTTTGGATTATATGAAGAAAAAAACGTCGTACATATACAAATAGATCTATAGGATTACTAGACACAATGCAACATAGTGTGCAATGTGAGAAAATGGCAACGCAACATAGTGATCGCATCATCAAGTAGATTCAGATCCTTACGGCTCAAGAAAATTATCTATTTTGCAAGTTCCTCTTAGTGGAAATTACTGCTGCATAACCTTATGTAATACACTGTAGTTACAACTGCAATAAACATTTCATTTTGAACACTTATGTTTCAATAATTAGTTGTTAAGTTCTACAGTAATTATAAAATCCTTTCTTCATACTACAAATAGGAATTTTATTTTATTTTATTATATTATTATTATTAATAATAATAATAATAATAATAATAATAATAATAATAATAATAACAACAATAATAATAATATTCAAGATGTATTGCCTTTATTAATACGAATACTTTTTGTTCGGTTACGATTTTCATAACGTTCGATAACCACGAACTGGAATCGAATGTGGAGTAATTCTCCGTTAACTTAATCATCAATTGCACTTGCTTTTCATCTCTTCAGCCGGGGGCTCGGCGCCATTATTTCCCGGGGTTCCCACACGGTCACCCGTCCAGGCCACGTTACGTGCGTTGTCTCGATTTACTTAACATCCGTGACTTCATGGAGTGTAGTAAACAAATTCAGCTAGCGACGCCGGCCACCTCATCTTTAAGACTCACTTCAGTCAAACATTGTTACCAATTTTATTTTAATATAGGAAGTCACTTTAGCACACACATCTATAAAGCTCGGTATACACGGTAGTTTTTCGTGCAGATTCTTGTGCAGTTCATATTGCACTTCTGCATGAACATTTTCAGCATTTTCGTAATTTTTTCATGCAGACAGCCTGACTCAAATTTGATAGTTTGACTCAAGCGCCTCTAGATGCAGAATCGTTCACTAACTCCCGTGTAATCGGTCATTTCGATTTTGGGATTAAGTGCATTTCTATCTTCAAACTGCGATAAAACTACCTCCTTCCCAATTCCTATTTTTCCTCTCTTTGCCCCTCATGGTTAATTAATATTTAATAAAGATAACACAGCCTAAAGCACGCACAAAAATATCGTCTCTAAAAGCACTCGGAGGGCGCAATTCAGTAGTTACCCTGAAGACCTCCTAGCGGCGTCTTGTCATACAGAAAACGTACAGACCGTGTATGCGCGACTATTAGATTTTTATACTATGAGTTTGGGATCTTGGAGTTTCTGGACAGAAACTATGAGAATCTGCACGAAAACTGTGCGGTGTACACTCGGCTTAAGCATATTTCCTTGCAGAGATCTTCAATCACTAATGAGCAAAAGGCATAAATTGCCCCAAAGCTTAAAGAAACTGCGTTTCCAATAGCTGTCATTACGAAAAGAAATTTCAAACCTTAAGGGACTTACGTGCATCTACTCCCCCAGGTCTCTTGGTTTTCTCGCAGAAAACCGACGCCATCTTCACACCCCTTCGACACACCTGTCCATCGCAAGAGGGGCCAACAGATTCCTCAACTGCTGACGCCTCAAACAAACCTTTACCTTCTGGATGCTGGAGGTAATAGTTCAGCCATTTTTTGTTCCGTTATGCTTTTGGGGGTATTGAATACGAATCTGAAGTTTGCCAAAAATATTTTCGTTGAAATTTCAGTTATAACTTTTTTTTGGCATACATCCAAAAAATTACTCTTTGCCAAAATATTATACGCAGAATTTCCTACACTTTAGTTCCTTGCAACTCTTTTTTCGTCATGAGCGCCGTTTAGAGTAATTGACAGTTGAATTTTGACATTTTGTGGAAAACCTATTGGAATAATCAGAAACCTTTGTGTCTGTGTTCAGTACAACTATCATACTATCATCTAATCACATCAACTAATGATTTTCTCACTTACTGAGCTTTTTCTTATCATACTATTTATTTGAAAATAAACTCCATTCACCTCTCTTGTTAGGCAAATTATTCAGTTGCCTCATCATAAAAGGCTTAGAGAATGCTTCGGTAAAGGCGTAAATATTAGAGAATGCTTGAAGAAAGAATGTTTGAAACTCACTTAGGAAAGGAAAGTACCCTCGGGCAAGAACAAGTTTCAATGCTGAATTCTTCCCTATGTATCGAAGACCTCACATTAAGGTAGGAAGAAAGTCGGTAATCCCTTATTTCAAAGGGGTACAAAGGTCTTTGCAGATAGATAAGCAAACGGCCTGGTACCAATTATCTTCCAAAATCTCGGCCGACAGGCAATGGCCTTGCGGGGACGGTGTCGTTAGTATGCTAGATATACCCTAAGCATTTGACAGTTCCTCGCACGGCGATTCGAGTCCCGTCCAGGAAAGGGGTCCCCTACACCTTTGATCAATTTGGTAATGGACTCTTACGCTGATGTTTCCACTGTCATTCAGCACCCCTCGGAAAGCATTGAAGTGCCAATTCGTAGAGGAAATAGAAAGGGAAGCGCCGTCTCCTCCCTTCTTTTACTTTCTGGCTACCGCTTACGCAGTAGAGAGAAAGATATGTAATGCTGCGGGGGGAAAACAGCGAATTTTCGGCAGAAAAACTTATTGTCGGGCCCTGGTACCGAAAAAATGCATAAATCCAGACCCTAAATTTACAACAACAAAAAAAAAATCATCTTAACACGTAATATAGCCGGAATACAGGTTTTGTCGGTCCTTGATTCTGAAAAATTGATTGACGGAAAAACGTCTGTCTGTCCGTCTATGAACAACGCTAGCGGATAAACCGTTTAGCCGACTTTCTCCAAAATTGACATTCCCCTATCGACGTGGCCGATGTTTGCTTTTTTCCTGTAACTAAAATATTAAAGAAAGTGTTATTTCTCTAAACGAAATCTGTGCCTTAAAGATAGATTTTCAAATAATGCCTCATTTTTTGAAAATTAAAAATTATTAAAAAATATTTTCGGAGTTTTCCTACAACTACAATTGAGAAGATACATTTTTTAAAATGAAATGTGTTCATTAAAACAGATCTTCAAATACGGTTATTTTGAATTTTTCGAAAACATGAGTGCATTTTGTGTAATATGGCGTCATAGTCGCTAGTTTCGAATTTCATGCGCTTCGTGAGCATAATTTGAGACGTGTTTGGAACAAATTGCTGTTCTTATAAAAGTGGATCGAAGAAAGGTAATCAATTTATCTTGGAACTAAAGAACACCTTTCATTGAGTTAAATGTGAAAACACACACACACACACACACACACAAGACCCAGAAGCTGGGGTATAATACTTGTACAGGCATATTTAAACAGTCTAAGTGGTAACTAATAGAATAGATATCTTTGTTAAAACGAATATTCTTTACTTTTTGATGTACAGTATAATCTCTAATTGTAACAGCTACGCAGTAGAAACGATTTTACTTAGCACTGAAACTTGCGTATAGATTTACATTTTTTAAAGTCATCTGGCAGGGAGTTGTAAAACAAGGAATATGTATTGTATGCGAATATTTAGTGGAAAGCGGTTGATACCGATGAACATTATTTTTACGTCGAGTGAGACATCTCTATTGCTAGGAAATATGTTCCTGCCCTTCAGTAAGTCGTTTTTTAAAGATCACTGATTTGTAAATCAAGAGGCACGACAATGGTAGAATTCCTAGCATAATAAAGGGAGAAATACAAGAATCATATGGGGAGGGAATAGTATTTACTAGGCTGTCCGGGTGACGCCGCGTCCATGGCGAAGGTGCCGACGTTTCGGTCGCCATGGACGCGGCGTCACCCGGACAGCCTAGTAAATACTGACTCCGGCCGCGGAAGCCTACGCTCTCATATGGGGAGGGTTTCTTATCTTATATCTAAACGACATTAGTTTGTTTGATCGTGCTTAATGTGCTACCGTACCATTCATCATACTGCGATAAAACTAAGCCAGCTTATTGCTTGCACTTCCGGGAGGAATATAGGTATAGTACGATGAGAATGTGCATATTCCTATGCACATAGGCGCCCGTTGATGATGTAATGAAGACTCAAGGGCCCTAATCAGGGCGCTTCCTGACAGGGCGCTGTCTATGCAACCCGCCGTGCATGAAGGACGATTATTAAGAAGACTTCATTGCGTATTCCGTCTCTACAATTGTGTAATTTCTCCCGGGAGAGAGAGATGCAGAGGGAGACAGAGACACGGAGAGAGAAACAAACAGAAACGGAGACTTTGAGAAAAGAGGGAGACACACAGAGACCGAGGAACGGAAAGACACGGAGAGAGAAACTTTGCAAACGCTCGCGAGAAAGACTTTCGTCTATTGAAATTTTCGCAGTGCTCAGCGTAAAACGTGATTAACAACCAGTAGTAAGTGAAACGTAATACATTGCAATAGCGAAGCATTCCCGGTCGACTAGTTATTCATACAATTATTTTCTGTAATGTATTAAGTCAGGAAACTGAATCTCTGGTTTTCCCAGAATATCTTGCCGAATCTCAGGTGGGAATTAACATTCGCGAAATCTACCCAAGCATCATGAAGGCTGACTGAACCTGAACGAATTCTGAATGCATTGCTAAATGAAGGTAATTTTGTGTTCAATTGTGATTTAATTTAGGTTAGCCATTCCTCTTCAATGTTTTTGCATGTTTTATTTTATTTGATTTATGTTTGGCATAACAGTAAAAACGTTTTGCAACTTATGGAGGAAGAATTATAATTTGCAACTGGTTTTCTGTACATAGATTTTCTCTTGGTAAAATGGTAAATAATTAAGTGATTGGTTAATACTGAACACACTACTATTTTAATTATTTCAGATAAATGCAAACAAGAATTATGGACCTGAATGACAATCCACCTCTCTTCATCTGTGTTTTCATTCATTTTATGAATTATTTATCATTTATTCACAAATGGATGAAAGATACAACACTGCTAAAACAAATACATCACTCCTTGATTATAATACAAATGTTAGTAATATGAACATTAATATGAAGATACACGTAACAAGGAAGACATTTGTTTAAATACTTACGCTATATCCAACTAAAGCACACTAGACCCCTTATACCAATCTGTTGTGAGAGGAATATTCTCAAAGCGAACTACCTTGCTTGTCGAACTTATAGTTGGATTTTAATTCAACATGTTGCATATTATACCTCATTAAACTTCAATAATTTTAAAAAATTGAAGTGTACAAATTATTTTTAATAACTGCTCAAGTCTATGAATCCAATCAATGAAATAGAAATGTTTCATATCTAACCAACTTTAAAGTACATTATTTTACATATATCACACATAAGTGCATCCATTTACATATTTAACCCATGAGTATTCAATTTGGTTAACTACAAACTATTCTTAAGGGACTTGCAATCATTCTTCTTCACTGGTTTTCTAAGTATTTGACAAAGTGTAATATATTAAATTAAGCAATACAATATCTGATTAACTTGCTGTATTGTTGGAAGTGCTGCTGAGTTTTATTTGGAACCACTTCTAATTAAATTGTTATTACTAATGTTAACTTAGTTTCAAATGATGTTGAATTTATACTCTTTGCAGTTGTGGGCAAAGAGCAAACGTGTTTGCAAAATGTTACAGATCAAAATGATATTTTAGATCTAAACAAATTAACTCATTACATTTGTTAAATTCTGTGTTGAAAATCATCTCCATATGAAAATAATAAACGCAAATGTATCATCCCATCTCACTTAAAAGCAGTTTTTTTAAAACTTTAATTTAGTTTTTTAGAACTTGTCACATCTATTTGGGTCTTTGGAGTTATGTTTGGCACCAAATTATCATTTTCAGAACACCACAAACAAAGCAAATCTGATGTCAGAGTTTATTTTATTAGAAGTTATTATATTTATTAGATCTTACAAATTTAATTCCATAAACACTTTGAAAATACTCTACATAACAATGTTCAATCAATTTTCATTTTCATCATCATCATCATCATCATCATCATCATCATTATGATTATTATGATTATTATGATTATTATTATTATTATTATTATTATTATTATTATTATTATTATTATTATTATTATTATTAAAACAATTACCAATCAAATCAATGTATTTTTTCAGGAGCAACAATGTCTAGTTTACAAATGTTGCTAACCTCGCTTTATTGGTACTTTTATTCAGCATTCAACTGTTAATAGTTAAAAAGGTGGGGAAGATATTCTGGAGCTCACGAAAAGTGGGCAGATGGTACTTCTTCCCCAGATGTGCTTTGACAAAATAATTCAAATTTAATTCTCCAGTAGTTTGATTACCTGTCTTTCAAACTCAAATCAAAAACTTTGAAACTGACGAACATAAGTTTAATATAATTGCTGCTACCCATATGGGATAAGAAATATCTATTTTTTGATTGTAACTGCAGGGCAACAGCATCTGGTATAGATTGTTATGACAAGAGAAAATTAATTTTAACAGTATGTAATGGTTATTCTATAGTTACAAATTTCTTTTTTGTTAATATTTCTGTATTTTAAAATATTATTATTTTTGATTCAAGGAAAGGTAATTGGGTTGGTTTGTAAATCTATTAAAAATTATGAAAAGAATTATAATACAAATAATAATTTCTTTCCAATATTTTACTTTATCTTTCGTGTATAATATTCGATCATATTCTTCAAGCGTAGGAACTACATGCTTCGCTTTCTTTTTTATCTACACTTGGCCCTATATGAAGTTTCCGAATTTACAATTAGTAATCGCCTTTGGAGTCGCAACATTTCAAATTTACGCCAAAAGTTTCGCAGCTAGACACCAGAGAACTCTGATTTCGCTCCATGACACACGAGCGCAGTCGCATCGAACCACGATCCAGGCCATAACCAACACTGCCATTCTCTGCATCGAACGCACGTTACTTTGCGCATGCGTGTGAAGTAGTGGAAATTAGGTTGGGATGGGACCGTGCTAAATTCGCGAGTTCGCCATCTCACGTAATTCGAGTCAATAAACAAACCAGGCCAAAGTCCTTCATCTGGACGTTGGCGATCATGAGTAGAAATAACAATACGTTTAGTGCGTAAGATAAATGTACCTTGGAAATCTTTATTTTCTGGGGAAACCAGATGTAATAAGTCCAGTACGTCATGTGTGATTTTTAGTGAACGGAACTACTATTTGATTCAGTTACTACCAACAATAATGTCATTGAAAATTAGAATTTCTCGCAGTTTGGAAAAATATCCGAAAACGTAAAGGTAATTGAAACACAAATTTTCAAATGTCAATTTTCACAGATAAACCCCTGGTGTTAGTTTTGAATTGAACACTGAATAAATGTATTTCTTTCTAGGCTGAGAAAAATTACTGGTAATGAAAGGAAATTGTATGCAATGCCACAACACCGTCAGCCATTGGCTCTTCTGTCTCTCTGTTACACACAAGTTGCCACTGATTTAGTATCAACATGCAGGTTACTGCAATTGGTCGCCCAAGATTCAACTGCAACCCATGCATTAATGTTGGCCCGGCGAAGACTTCGCTCGCGTTACCTAGCCAATCTGCCAGGATCTGTTCGTTCTCGTTTGATTGAGGAAGCATCTCGTTTATTATCTGCACCTACACCTGATGGTAGTGCAATAGGAGGACCAGCTCCATTGTACCTCTTGGCATTACTTCTTGCCCCCGACATCCATCATTTAAGAGTAGAATTATGCTGCTACTATGGCTGCAGCCACCAAGCAGCCCTTTTGAGACTTCTTGCTTCTGAAGGGCGGGGTTTAGAAACCTTGGAGCTAGCTAGATCAGCGCTTTTGAGACTAGATCGCAGTCTTCTACATAGTGCCCTAATTTCTGCAAATTCATTAAGGCATCTCATCTTGCGAAATATAGCACGGGATACTATAATGCAAGTGATTGGTTCAGCATGCCACAATCTTACTGTTTTGGATGTTTCACATTCAAGACAAGTAACAGATGGAGGTCTACGTCATTTGTTTCTGCAAGTAGAACTACGTGATAAATCTTATGAGAGAGAAGAATCACCTTGTACATCCTTACCATCATTAAGTCAAAGTGCAAATTCTAGTGGATCTTGTGGTAATCGAGGTTGGGGTCGTCTTCGAATATTGCTTAGATTGTTTCCTTGGCTTAGAGTAAATCGCGAAGGTGACAGTAAAGTTAAAGATACATCATTCCTTCTTGAATACTGTGAACGTCGGAATCCACTTTGTGAATCACTTCAAGTCTTAAATGTTGCTAATACAGGCGTCACAAGTGCTGGCATTTTGCTGGCCCTTCATCATATACCACGACTACAGTCCCTCGGAGAGTATGGGCACATGGGGCGAGCTTTAGAAATTTTACACAGAGCATGGAGTGCCACATCGTGGCAAGGAGATGAGCAGTCTCCACCAAGTTTCTGTCTCACTGCAGCACGAAGCCAACGTACAACTGTGCAAAGATTGGAACTCCTTGCTATGGCTTGTCCAAGTCTTGAAAAATTGACAATATCTGAGCCTCATCATCCTCCTTCAGCTCTTGAACTTTTCTCTTCTCATCTGACAACCCTCCATTTACACAGTGTACCTAATGATATTCAATGGATTTCTGGATTATATACATTTCTTGCAACAGAACACGGCAGGAAGTTGCAAAATTTCTCACTGCGTTTCTTTCCTCATGAACTGACCACACCTGTAGATTTGGGTCAGATTGTTCTCTCTTGTCCTAACCTACAGATTTTCACTGAAGATGGAGGTGATATTGACTGGAAAAATGACACTAGTAAAGAAAGCATAAATTTATTACACTTACGGCAAATTCAACTTGGCCGAACCGTTACAGCAAGAGCTCTCACAGAACTATTAAAAAGAGCACCTGCACTAGAAATTGCACATTTCTACAGTTGTCCTGATTTGAAAGATCATCATATTATGAGAGTCACTTCATCAGCAACAAATTTACTGGATCAATCTCAACGTTCTTCTTTCTCGTCACTGAATTTACAGTGCTTTTATATATATGAAGCTTCTCATATTACAGCTCCTGCTGTTGTATCCTTGCTAGCATCTTGTGAACAACTTTTAAGTATAGGCAATCTTAGTAACTGGGGTCTTGACTGTGAAGGTTTACGAAGGATACACACCACAGTTTTAAAACACAATCTTAATTTGGAAATAAATACTGGTTCGCACTGGTTTTGTTCTCACTGCTTTCCATCATGACAAGATTCATCATCTCATCAATGCACCCACACCTGCTTCTATCAACATCAATACAATTATTACTTGTGAAAATGTATGTTTCTCTTCAAATATAATATGTGATTTCTTAATTGTGCAGTATTGAAATTTGCGCAACAACGAAAATTAATCTCATTCGTATATATCCAATTACAACTTTGAAGGACTATTGCAGTAAAATTATATGTATTATTATTGCAGAAACTTATAAAATAATCACACACAAAATCTGTGATTTGTTGCTATGACCAATATTGTGATAGATTTTGTACACTTTGTTATACTTTAACTTATGTACAATCTAGTCATTGTTACTGTGTCATGAGAACATGAAAATAAATTTCACATTGTAAATAGAAAAATTAAACTTATTCCACATATTCTTGCACATTTCATTTTTTTTTAAATATCTGCTTATGTTTTGAAGGACAAATTTCACAAAGCAGCTGCTGCTAAAGGGGAGGTAGTGTGTATGGCATGTTATATGCAAGAATTAAAGAGATGTTTGACCATGGGATAAATATGAAAATATTATTATATATTGATTTTTTTTCTCACAAAATTTTTTTAAACGTGTTTTTTCCTCTATAACTCATCTTTTACACAATGTGTGTGTAAATTCCTTCAGAGCATAAAAACATCAAAGAAGCCAAATGCATATTAAAATTAATTTTAGCTGCAAATTCAAATTCAATTATAATATACCTCCTTTATGAGAACACAACCAAAACTGCCCATTATTTACACAACTTGATGTTCTTCTCCTGATTCCATTTTCTTCATTCTTGTATTAAAATTCAGTAACATGGACATAAGACAAAATTTCTATTTAGAATCTTTGGTGTGAATGGACAACCATTGACATTGACCACAAATCTTCAAATATACAAATTCCAAATTGTGTTTTATGTTAGTATAGAGTTAGCTACTAATTTGAGAGGAATAGCCATCTTCCAAAATTTAAAAAATGTAATTAATCTATAATCAACTTCCTTGAAATATAGAAACATTGAAACCGAAAGGAGAAAGAAAGAAGAAGATAAAAAGAAAGAAAGTTAAAACATACAAATTACTTTTTACTGATATGAATAAGAAATAAGTATTATTAATTCTATTTCTTTTTGGAT